CACTTTCAATCATTATCTAAATTAAAAAGCAATTATCAAGATGGGAAAAATTTCAAAGTGGTTCCAACCTGACCCTGTGTGGTCAAATATATTTTTTCCTACTCGTGAGATTCACACACTAAAATAGATATTTCTTTTATTTCCCGAGGTGTAAATCTAAAAGTTGCTCTCAATCACTCATTTCTTTTACCGCTCAAATATACTCAACTAGTAAGCATTCCCAAACGAAGATGGAGGAACTAAACACGTAGAACCTCACAGGATAGTATGATCACTCCACTCTCAAGTGTTTAAGATTGGTTAACTGTTTCACTCAAAATCATCCCAATGAAGATGTTCTACCATAAGCTTGCATATTTTCTTATTCGCCAGCACTTAGATCACATGCATAACACGAATCAAAAGGTCTTTTCAGGGTTAAACCGTGGCTTCATGTCAAGGTGTGGAAAATATTTAGGTAAGTGACTAAGAAACGTCAAATATAAATCAGTGGAGTAAAGATATTCAACTCAGCTCAACATAGATAGGATCTGTACACAATCCAATATTTCCAACAATAACTTCTTACTTTTCACCTATTCAGCACAATTGACCTTTTTTCTTCAAAAATCAGGAGAAATCATAAATATAGACATACGAATCAGTTTCCTCCACACATTTTTCCCTATCAGATTTTTTTTAACTACTTTCCACTACACCAATCATAGCACCTCAATAGATGTTGATACCCCGACTCTTATTTTCTATCACACCCAACGTTCAAAGTCATCAACAATACTCCACTAGCTTTAAAAGCTAGATAAAGATATTGTTTTCTGTATATGAAAGCTTGTAATGTGGGTTTATCAAAGAAAAGGCAAATAGGCACAACAGGGTTTATCAAAGGAAAGATTAATTTCATGGTAAGCTATTTGGCTAATGTGATAACAAAAATGGCCTTGATCATATTCATGCATACATGTGTCAATGTGATCTTGAGGAGAATCAATGCAAGTTCTAGAGAAGCAAAATCATGGAAGTGTGTCACACATGAAAGAAGTAATGAGATTGCAATATATGTGTCAGTTTATAGGCTCAAAATCTCACAAGCTTTTGTCTACACCATTCAGTTACTACCATCTTCAATGAAAACAACTAACTAGCTGATCCAAAATTTCTCGCTAAATGGTAAAGTGAATGAGAAGTAGACATAGGTTGATATAATTTCTCAGGTAACTCACAACCTAAGTTCTTACCAATTCAAAAATTTTCCAACAAAATACACTTCCACATCTAGATGACAATCAATCATGACTATTGTGCTCAAAGTAACTCAGAATCTTACAATGAATAAGCAATT